GCAGGTGCTGGATCCGCGCACGCGCATGGTGCTGTTCAAGATGCTCAACCGCGGCGTCTTCTCCCAGATCAACGGCTGCCTCTCCACCGGCAAAGAGGTCAACCGCATTCACCATCACCATCACTCCCTATCCACCCTTGTTCTCAATGCCCACCCCTTCACCCACCTGGTCTGCCCCTCTATCCCCCTACCCTCGGGCACGCCTCACCCCACCCCATGCGCCAACTTTGCTCCCCCATGAACCACCGCGCCCTCCTGTCCAGCGAATGTATACCACGCCACTGCTATCATGCCACGCCACTGCTATCATGCCACGCCACTGCTATCATGCCACGCCACTGCTATCATGCCACGCCACTGCTATCATGCCACGCCACTGCTATCATGCCACGCCACTGCTATCATGCCACGCCACTGCTATCATGCCACGCCACTGCTATCATGCCACGCCACTGCTATCATGCCACGCCACTGCTATCATGCCACGCCACTGCTATCATGCCACGCCACTGCTATCATGTCACGCCACTGCTATCATGTCACGCCACTGCTATCATGCCACGCCACTGCTATCATGCCACGCCACTGCTATCATGCCACGCCACTGCTATCATGCCACGCCACTGCTATCATGCCACGCCTCATGCTTCCCCCGTGGCTCCTCTCGCCCGTGGCTGCTCTCCCACCCCCCCAGGCGAACGTGTACCATGCCACGGTGGACCGCCCCTCTGCGCTGCACATGCCCGCTGCACTGGGGATTGGGGGGAATAGGGAGGGGGCGGGCGTGCAGCAGGGGGGCGAGGGGCAGCTGGTGAAGGAGCTGGCAGTGAAGGAGCTGGCAGTGAAGGTGTACAAGACGTCCATCCTGGTCTTCAAGTGAGTGACTCATGTGCTGCGCCCTCATGTGCAACTATGCCGCTGTTGCCATTCACTCTTGCAGTCCCTCTCCTGCACTTGCTCTCTTACCGCCATTGCCCCTCCGACCCCCCCCACACGCACACCCATCCCACGGTGGTGCGGGGCAGGGACCGCGAGCGGTACGTGGCGGGGGACTACCGGTTCCGGCACGGGTACAGCAAGCACAACCCGCGCAAGATGGTCAAGGTGTGGGCCGAGAAGGAGTTCCGCAACCTCAACCGGTACACTCCCCCTCTCCCTCCTCTCTTCCTCGCTCCGCTGCCTTGCTCACTCCTTGTATTCTGGCGCAGCGCGTCTTGAATAGCCGCACAAGCCAACTGCACGGTGCATCCATCGCCCCATGCTGCCCGCCTAACGCTCTCCACGCCCTGCCACCCACGTGTCAGTGCCGGCCGGGTGTCTGGCTGACTGCATGGGCCTTTAATTCCATTGCGGCGGCACTGTGTGTCGATGAGCGCAACACGTCCCGAATCCCCCTCTCAAGTCCCTCTGGCACATGCCACTCCACATTCCTACTGCTAACGCCTTCCTGTCCTTGCCTCTTGGTGCCGGCCGTGTGTCAGGTTGCGGGCGGCAGGAGTGACGTGTCCCGTGCCGCTCATGCTGCGCATGCATGTGCTCGTCATGTCCTTCATCGGTGCGTGTGAAAGCTAATTGCTGCTCTTGCGTCTGCCACTGCTTGCCAGTCGCCCTCCTGCAGCAGTTTTCTTCCTGTTTTTTACACAAACTAGGAGTTCCTTTTCTAGAATTGTAATGCGCTTTTGGCTATGGCATGGCATGGCACGGCAGGCACGGAGGGGTGGGGAGCCCCTCGGTTGAAGGACGTGCAGCTGTCGGAGGGGCGGTGGAGGGAGTGCTACGGGCAGGTGGTGGTGGCGATGTGGCGCATGTACCGCCTCTGCCGCCTCGTGCACGGCGACCTCAGTGAATACAACCTGCTCTACCTCCAGGTGCGACCTCAGTGAATACAACCTGCTCTACCTCCAGGTGCCACCTCAGTGAATACAACCTGCTCTACCTCCAGGTGCCACCTCAGTGAATACAACCTGCTCTACCTCCAGGTGCCACCTCAGTGAATACAACCTGCTCTACCTCCAGGTGCCACCTCAGTGAATACAACCTGCTCTACCTCCAGGTAACATATCTACTGCTATACGTCTATGACTATATACACATATGTTTTATATCTATGTTTTTATATTAATTCTATTAACATCTCCTCAACATTTGACCCCACTGTGACTGTACCAGGGGCGGGTGTGGGTGATAGACGTGTCGCAGTCGGTGGATCTGGACCATCCCCGCGCGCTCGACTTCCTCAGAGAGGACTGCCTGCACGTCACTGTGAGTGCATGTCACTGTGAGTGCACGTCACTGTGAGTGCATGTCACTGTGAGTGCATGTCACTGTGAGTGCATGTCACTGTGAGTGCACGTCACTGTGAGTGCATGTCACTGTGAGTGCACGTCACTGTGAGTGCATGTCACTGTGAGTGCACGTCACTGTGAGTGCATGTCACTGTGAGTGCACGTCACTGTGAGTGCATGTCACTGTGAGTGCACGTCACTGTGAGTGCATGTCACTGTGAGTGCATGTCACTGTGAGTGCATGTCACTGTGAGTGCATGTCACTGTGAGTGCATGTCACTGTGAGTGCATGTCACTGTGAGTGCACGTCACTGTGAGTGCATGTCACTGTGAGTGCATGTCACTGTGAGTGCATGTCACTGTGAGTGCATGTCACTGTGAGTGCATGTCACTGTGAGTGCATGTCACTGTGAGTGCATGTCACTGTGAGTGCATGTCACTGTGAGTGCACGTCACTGTGAGTGCACATGATTGCAAGTATCCACCCTTGCCATTTGCGCCCAGTGAAGTGCACAAGCCAGCAAAGTGCCACCCATGCCCGTTCTTCTGATCGCTTGTGTGATCCTCCCAATCGTCCCAAACATCCCCGCAGGGTTTCTTCCGGCGAAAGGGCATGGCAGTGCTGACGGTGCGCGAGCTGTTTGACTTTGTCACGGACCCCGTCATGCCGGAGAGCCTCGTTGATGACTGCCTGCACAAGGTGGGGTGGGGTGGGGCCACTGCATGTGCTTGCATGTATGCGCGTGTGTTTGGCTTTCTGTGTTTCCTGTTGACACCTTTTGCACTTTCATGTTTATGTTTTGTGCATGTGTCTGCCTGTACCACTGTACATCCCCATTGATCTCGCTGCATCTCTCTCCGTGTGTGCGCATGGCACGGGCAGTTGCAAGAGAGGGCAGCCAGCAGGCCGTTGGAGCAGACAGCACAGGAGGCCATCGCTGAAGCCGTCTTCCTGCAGGTCAGTCACACTGCACCTGCTGCCTGCCAGGTCAGTCACACTGCACCTGCTGCCTGCCAGGTCAGTCACACTGCACCTGCTGCCTGCCAGGTCAGTCACACTGCACCTGCTGCCTTTCCACGTTTTAGCCCACCTGCTCTTCTCCTCGCTCCAGTCACCTCCCCACATCCATCCATCCAACCCTGTTCCTCTTCCCCCCTCTCCCTCCCCCCCTGTCACAGTCGTTCATACCGCAGTCGTTGGATCAGGTGAAGGACGCGGAGAAGGACATCCGCCGCATCACCTCCGCCACCAAGGCAGCAGCGCAGCAGCACGCAGCCGCACAGCCCGGGGGGGATGCGCCCAGCAGCACGCAGCAGGGGGCGGCACAGGGTAGAGGAGGAGAGCAGGGCGCAGCAGTGGGTGCAGCGGCAGACGCAGCAGCTAGCAGCAGCAGCAGTGCAGCAGCAGCGCCGTCATCAGAGGCGCCCCCTCTGGAGGGCATCTTCTACCGCTCGCTGCTGGGGCTCAAGGAGGACCTCTCCGGCGTGCGCACCCTGCCCGACATCCTGCAGAGCGCTGAGGGGCGCGGTGTGGAGGAGGCGGGGCAAAGCGGTGGGAAGGAGTGTGAGGAGAGCCCGGGAGTAGTGAGGCCGGGAGGGGAGGGGGTAGAGGGGGGGGAGAGGAATGAGAGTGAAAGGGGCGGTGAAGGGATGGTGCCACGCGACCTGCGTGGGGGGGCAGAGGGGATGGAGGGTGGAGAGGAGCAGCAGAGCGAGGAGGGGAGTGAGGATGGGAGTGAGGAGGGAAGTGATTTCTCAGAGGATGAGGGAGGCGAGGAGGAGGGTGGAAGGCGGGGCAGGGAGGGAGCAGTGAGCAAGGAGGAGGTGAGGGCGGCGCGCAAGGAGAACAAGAAGAAGGTGAAGGAGGAGAAGCGAGTGGCTCGTCTCACCAAGGTGCCCAAAGCTGCCAAGAAGAAAAAGCAGAAGGCAGCTCAGAGCAAGAAGCGATGAGGGAAATACATGGTAATACGGCAGCTTCATTAAGTCTCAAACGTGTGTGCGCTGTCTGTTGTGTTAATGCCTGCGGCCAATCTGTGTTAATCGTATGAAAATTGAGCAAAAAGTGTCAAGCAGCACCAGCCGTTTCACAAGCCTACTGCCGAGTGGCCAAGCCCAAGGGGGCTGCACTACTGTTACTGTATCTTTTTGCTTGGTATGTAATGATGTTTAAAACACCATGTGCCAAGGTTCTCGAACCTACCTCCCAACCAATCTCCCGCAACGGAACTCACAGGGGCATGGGAAAACGCACTGAGACTGAAACCACCCACAATTTGACAGCAGAAAGTAGCTTCTCTTCCTTTCCAGCTTGTTGGAGCAGGAAAGCCGCTCGAAAGATGGGCCCAACCCAACCACCTGTTGCTCGCTACAGGTTTCGTACGTTGGTTAGTTGCAGGGGATTGATGTGTCAGTTGTGATGGAGATGAGCGTGGTCGCTGGGGCTGCAGTCACCAGTGTTCCACTGCCCGACTCATGCTCACCACTGGGGGGACAGTGGGCCGTGCAGTGAGCAACACCCTGTGCCTCTGAGGAGGGGACACAGATCACATGCCACTGCACGCACAACTTGCAAGCTCTCGGTGAGCTTGAGTAGAATGCTCTGATCACACCGCACTGCAACAAGCGTCCAACAGGAACGTGACATGCATGAAAATAATACAATGCTTGTCTCCCAAGCACCCCAGGGCAGGCAGGGCAGTGTCCGGCCAGTTGCAGCTACATGTGAGCGAGCTCCACAGTGGCCACGTCGTTGCGCTTCACCACCCAGTCCACCACGCCAAACTCTGCGAGTGCCTCCCGGCTGTTGGCCTGCGACACCACCACCACCGTGCGCTGCGGTAGCGACCGCCGCACCGCTGCCACCGCCGCCACGCCCTCGTCGTCCAGATGCTGTTGGCCGGGGAGGATGAAAGAGCAGGAGAGTGAAAAACGTTGATGAAACATGTAGGAGTGTACCCCGTGTGCGGGGAAATGTTGCGTCATCCATGGACGAAAGAGAGAGGAACAGGAGTAAAGTGGGGAGCAGGAAAAGGAGCAGAGGGAGGGCGAGGGGAGGAAGAGGGGGAGTGGTGGCGGAAGGGAGCAGCGGCGTGCCTGGAAGACCTCGTCCAGCACCAGCAGGTCGTAGCGCACGCCGCTGCGCTCCGCCGCCAGCTCAGCAAACGCCAGCGCCAGGGCCAGCGCCACACGGCGCCGCTCCCCCCCGCTGAGCTGGCGCAGCGCCCGCGGGACGAGCTCCCCTGAGGCCAGGCGCACGCGCACACTCTTGTCTATCCTCTCCAACACCTGCCCCTCCCCCCCGCTGCCATTTCCCGCCTCCTCTGCTGCCCCCTCCTCGTCCCCCTCTCCCCTTTCACTTCCCCCACTGTCGCTCGACGCTTCCGAGTCTGTGCTGCTATCCGCCACCCCGCTCTTCCCCGCCCCACTGGCCTTCTTTGTCTTCTTCCCCCGGGCGGCCTTGGTGGCAGTGGCGGCGGCGCGGGTGGGCGAGAGATGCAGGAGCAGCGCGCCCCCTGAGAGTGCAGCGAGGTAGCGGGCCACATGGGCGTCCAGCTCCCACAGGGCGCCCTCCAACACAAAGCTCTGCGGGAAAAGGGGGGGAGGAAAGGAAAGGGAGGGGGTGTGGGAGTGGGTGGGAGTGGGAAGGGAAGGGGGAATTGCGGGCTGGTATCATTAGAATCTAAAACCAGCACCTCCGCACCCTCCACCCCACCCCACCCCACCCCACCCCACCCAACCCCACCTGCACGCCAGCGAGGCCAAAGGCGGCGTCCACTTGCTTCATCACGCCCAGCTGCGCCTCCCCCGCATCCACCTCCCCCTCCACCGCCTCCACCTCCCCCCGTGCCTCCCCCAGCATCTCCACCAGCCGCCGCCGCTCCCCGTCATGCGGGTTGCCCTCTGCCTGCCCGCACTCCGCCTCCCGCCGCCACCTCTCCACCTCCGCCTCCGCCGCCTGTGCATCCGCCACCACTGTGGCCGCCTCGCGGATCACCGCCGCCACCACCTCCTGCCGCCACGCCCCCCCGCACTCACCATCCACGCCTGGGCCCGTGGTGGGGGTAGAGGCGGGGGGCAGTGGTGGTGTGGCGGGCAGGCGGGCGGAGTGGCAGTGCAGGAAGAGCAGCAGCGAGTCGAGGGCCTGCGAGGCCGCTGCTGTGTAGCGCTGCACTGCCTTCAGCTGGGGGGGGGGAGGGGAGAGGGACAAAGGAGGGGGGGGGTGGGAAGATGGGGCGGAGATGGTGCAGAGAGATGAAGGTGGGCGGATGCCGGTATGGTGAAGGCATGGTGAGAGTGAAGGAGCAGGGCGATTATTGCGCATAAGCACAGAGGGCACATGCACGTGACGGTATTCACAAATCACAACTCATGAGTCATGGTGCATGTGGTGCTGTTGCCTTTGAGGGACACCCGGCCCCCACCCAGTGCGCACCTCCTCCTGCTGTGCCATAGCCGCCTGCTGCTGCTGCCTCCTCGCCTGCGCGTCCCTCTCCTCGCTCTTGCGCCTCTCCCTCTGCCGTGCCTCCAGCCATCCCCTCACGCCCACCAGCTCTTCTTGCAACACCTCCCGTGCCTGGCAGCGAGGGGACATGCATGAGAGGCACTTCACGAGTGAGGAAGAAACTGATTGAAGTCAGAGGCAGGTCCGGAAAGATGGAAGACGACCACATATAAGACGCTGGATTTGCTGTCATACGGCAGGCAACACATGACCAAGACACGGACCCCCAAGGAGAACCCACCTGCTGCTTGCCTGCCAGCTGTCGCTGCGTCTCCTCCACCTCCGCCCTGAGCTGCCTGCTGCACTCCTCCGCATGCAGCGGATCAATGGGCTGCTGACACCTGTCACACACCAGCACCTCCCCTCCCCCCACCGCCCCCCCCACATGCGCCTCAAACTCCCCCAGCCGCTGCTGCTGCTCTCTCAGCCCTGCAGTCAGTGCTGACAGCTGCAGAGAAAAGGGGGAATGCAGATCGAGGGATGGGAAATGGCAGGCACATATACCGACCACAATTTCAAGGAAAAGCTGGTGCATGTGTGTGTGGGGGGCAAGAGGCGGTAGGCGAATGTGAGGATGCCATGCTCCCTGCATGCGAGCAGTCTTGCAAGTTCCCCACACTGCAAGCGACCACCCCTCCCCCCTCAACCCCATACATCCAACCCCTCCTTCCTCGCACCCACCTCGCCCTGCAGGGACGCGATCCCAGTCATCAGCTCTCGCTCCCTCTCCTCCATCCCCTCCTCCTCCTCGCCCCTCCCCGCCCTGCCTCCACCCACTCCCCCCATCCTAGTGCCTCTCTCTCCCTCCCCCTCCCCCCCAGAGAGGGAGGCGAGCACAGAGGAGTGCAGGGCGAGGGCGTGGGAGTGCGAGAGGGCCACGGCGGCCTGCAGGCGTGGGGCAACAAGGGACGCCAAGCGCTGACAGGCCGATGCCAGCTGCTGCTCCGCCCCCACCTGCTGCACACCCACCCGCTGCTGCCGTGCCGCCCTGGTGGCGGGCGTGTGGGTGGGGAAGGCAGGTGAGGGCAGTGAGGGGGTGAGGGAGGTGAGCGGGTGTTGTCGCTGGCGCTGGTTCGCACTGACTCATCCCACTTGAGATCACTTTCCCACATAACACGTATGCATCAGGAATGCAAGTAGCGCGATGAGGCAGGTGGTGCAGCAGGCACGGGATTGAAAGTGGTGGGAGGGTGCAGGGACTGAGAAACAAGCGTGTAGCATGGCATGGCATAGCATGGCATGGCATGGTTTGTCATGGCATGGCATGGCAAGGCAAGGCATGGCATGGCATGGCATGGCATGGCATGGCATGGCATGGCAAGGCAAGGCTCACCTGTGCGCTTCCCAGGTGTTGAAGGCACCCTCTGCGTCTTCCACCTGAAGAGGGGCCATGGGTCATGTCATGTCATGCACCCAGGGAGTGCAATGGCATGGCATGGCGGCACATGCGAGTGTGATGAAATCATTCAACGGCCGCGTGAGATGAGGCATGACGAGGAGATGCGGTGCAGAACAAGCTCACTATCACTGGCTTCTCACAAGCATCAAAGCTGCACCCTCCCCCCCCCTCTCCCCGCCCCATCCACACCCACCATGCGCTCCAGCTTCTTGACGGCCTCCCTGCGCGCCGCCAGGCCGCCCCTCATCTCCCCCACGCGTGCCTGCAGCGCCCTCACCGCGTCCTTGCTGCGCGCCCTGGCCGCCCCCCACACGTCCATGCCCACCACCCCACTCAGCTCCGCCTGCCACATGCAGGGCCAGCAGAGGGGCCGCGCAGGGATGCACACACGAGATGCGGAGGGGTGAGCGAGGGTTTATGGAGAGGCGCAGGAGGAGTGAGGCAGGAGAGCAAGCATGAGAGAGATGGGTGGGGCGTGGAAGCGGATTGAGTGGAGAGGGTGAGGGCACATGTACGGTTGATAGAGATAAGGAAGGCAGCATAGATTTGAATGGGCAGGAACGGATGTCAGTGGGAGGAGAGGAAGCATGCAAGGGAGCGAGGGAGGGAATAGGGAGACGAGGAGGAGAGAAGAAGGCAGCGGGAATTGGACATGAGGAGAGGCAAGGAAGATGAAGAGTGGCAAGGGAGAGGGAGGGGGAGCGGGCGGGCATGCCTTGAAGTCAGCGTCGTTGGCTTCAAGCAGCGCTGCGGTGGAGTGCTGTCCGAAGAAGACGGTGCGGGACAGGAGAGACGTGTCCCTGTAGTGCATGCGCATGTTCAGACGCCGTCACATGCACACACATGCACAGAGGTGCCAGCACAAGCGCACGCATGCATGCACGGATGCACGCACATGCATGGGCACGTACACAGATGCACACAAATGCATGCATACACATGCATGCACGCATGCATACAGGTGCGACCAGATCCAATACAACACATAGCTATTGTTGACGAATTGGGTAAACAGGTGCTAATCTAGCCGCACACAAATGCACAAGATAGAGATGACACTAGTGCATGCACGCTCACAGCACAGGGCACAGTGGCTCACATGAGGGCGTCGATCCTCTCCTGCGTGAGTCTGATCTCCTGGCATGTCTGGTCCCGCCCCTCCACCTCCAACCTCAACGCCGACCGCCGGCTGCACCGGCACGAGGGGCGCACAGGGGGAGGGAGGCAGGGGAGAGGAGAGAAGGGGAGAGGTTTAGCAAGGGAAAGTGGGCACAAAGGAAGAGGTTCTGTGAGGAAAAACGGGAAGAAGGGGAGAGGTTGTGAGAGGGAGAGTGGGCTAAGTGTGGAGGACGATGCAGTGAGGCGAATGCAGTCCAGGCCTTGCCGCTCCTCTCCACACTCTTGTCGCTTTTCTCTCTTGTCCAAGCACCACCGCACCACGTCCTCCCCCACCCACCTGGACGCCTCCCTCCCCACCCACCTGCACGCCTCCCTCTCCACCCACCTGGACGCCTCCCTCTCCACCACAAACGCCTTGCCATTCACCCTCCCCTCCACCCGCACCCGCGCCACTCCAGCTCCACTGCCCTCCCCCTTCCTCCTCCTCCCGCGCCCCTTCCCCTCACCCCCCTCCCCTTCGCCCTCCCCCTCCCCCTGGCCACTGCGGTGCACGACATCGGCCATGCGCAGCCCTTGGCGGGACTCAGGCCGCGCGTCCATGCTGCCCGTGAGCGCCCACAGCGCCGCCATGGCCAGCGACGTCTTGCCCGCCCCGTTGCTGTCGCCCGCCGCCCCCCCCGCCACCTCGTTGCGCCCACACAGCAGCACGATGCCGCGTGCAGCGAGGGGGTAGGTGGTGGGCGCGAGGAAGGGGCCGAAGCCACTCAGATGCACCGCATCCAGGCACACGTGCGCTGGCGGTTGAAGGGGGCAGGTCACAGGCAGAGGCACGGGATTGCAAACAGAGGAAGAATGAACTGAAGTGGAGCGAGGAGAAAAGGTGTGTGAGTAAGGACAATGAAGGTGGAGAGGGAATAGGAAGGCGTAAGGAGGAATTGGGAGCGTGGACGGAAGTGCAGAGGGCGAAGTTGAGATAGGAGTGAATGACGGGGGACATAGCCTGTGAGGCGTCCATGGCATTCCAGCAGTGCAGCTCCCCGTCCCCCAGCCCCCTGCCCTCACCGCTGGTGCTGTGCATGAGTCTGGGTGGCACTTCCAAGTCCTTGAGCAGGTCTTGGGCGGCAGACAGGACGGGTGGCGGCAGGTGGGCGGCAGTGGCGTAGCTGGCAAACACCCGTGAGGGCTCCTGCGAGAGGAAAGGGGAGGGGGTTATTGGTGCAGATGGAATGTTGCAGAGATGTGGGGAGAAGCAAACAACAGGCGAGTCTCCCCCCTCTTGATGGCGGTGCGTGCCTCGCTCTCATCCCCTCTTGATGGCGGTGCGTGCCTCGCTCTCATCCCCTCTTGATGGCGGTGCGTGCCTCGCTCTCATCCCCACTCTCTCTGCCTCACTCAGCCCACAAACCCCTGTGTCAACCCTCGCTCATCTCCCTCCCCCACCCACCTACCAGAGTGTCACCCCACCCAATGCACGGGCACCACCCACCAGAGTGTCGGCCTGAAGGATGCGGGGCGGGCGGGAGAGCGCCTGAGATGCCACTGTCTGCACCAACGCGCCTGTGGCACGCAGAGACGCCTGCAGGGCGAGGCGGGGGGGGGGGGAAGGAAGGACACGGCGAGGCCATGGGCGGAGTGAGGCATGAATGGGATCCGGGCGCCTCTGTGATGAGCGGCCTGTGACATCAGCAAAGGTCCAGTTCTCAGCAGCGACGGCCATCTGGCAGCATGTGACAGGCGGTACGAGGCGTGGGCTCCGCTCACTTTTGAGTCGACTCAAAAGGCGTGGGCTCCGCTCACCAGCGCGTCCACTCAAAAGGCGTGGGCTCCGCTCACCAGCGCGTCTCTGGTGTCCTTGGCGGCCGCCCCTCCAGGCTCCTCCCACCGCACCAGGTCGCCCGCCCGCAGCTGCGCCACCACCTGCTGCCACCCCTCGCCCGCCTGCCACCCCGACTCTCCTTCACCTTCACCCGGCTGCGAGGCTAAAGCAGTGGTGGGGATGATGAAGTGGCGCGGCCCCACGTGCAGAGGGATGTCCTCCACGTGCTCCCACGTGCCGCCCCGCAGTACCACGGCGCGCTTGCTCTGCCCCGCCTCGCCAAAGCTGTGCTGCATGCACGACCCCACGTACACCACGCTGTGACCGCCCTTGGCCACGGTGTGCGGCAGGTGCAGGTGGCCCGAGTACACAGGCACGCCCGGTGGCAGCAGCAGCGGATCCAACCCCTCCCCTGGAAGTGTTATGGCGCCCTCCGTGCTGCTGCGCCGCGCGCCCTCCACGTCGGCGTGCATGAAGACGGCGCGGATGGGGGGCGTGGAGGGCGGGGGGGCGTGCAGCGCTTGGTGCATGGCGGCGGAGAGGAGGGGGGCGTGGTGGCGGAAGGGCAGCCAGAGGGCGGCGAGCAGCACGGTGGGGCGTGAGAGCACCACAATGTGCGGGTTGATGCGCTCCAGCACTGCCAGCGCGTGCTGCGTGCCGTCCACTGACACCTGGCAGGGGGGGGTGATGGTGAGAGGGCGAGAGCGGCGGATGTGTCTCCTCGGAAAGGAGAAGGGAGGGGAAGACGGAACGCCTAGTGATGAAGGCAATGAGGGAGGAAGGAGGCAAAATGGAGCAATGCGGATGAAGAAAGTAGCAGCATGGCAGGAGTGACGTGGTGGCACCTGGTGGTGGTGGCAGTGGCACCTGGTCGTGGTTGCCGGGGATCATGAGGGTGGGTTGAGTCCACACGGCGGGTCCCATGGCGTGCATGACAGCGTTGAGTGCCTCCACTGGCAGCGACCCCCTCACATGCCAGAAGTCCCCCAGACACACCACGCCTGCCGCCCTGCCATGCCATGCCATGCCATGTGATGCCATGCCATGCCATGCCATGCCATGCCATCAAAACACAAGACTATGATGGTTTGACTTAAAATTGTGTCATGGAACAAACCAATGCAATATGCGAGACTCTGCAGGCGACTGTACCCCACACTCATCCGAGTTCGTCTCTACCCTCAACTCCCGCACACACTGCTGCGGCGTGCACCTGTCTTTGGCGAGCTGGTGCACGTGTGTGAGCAGCGCGGCGCACAGCTCTGCATTGCGGCGCGACACGTGGAGGTCGGAGAACACCACCCACTGCTGCACCCCCTCAAACGCTGCTGGCAGCGCTGGGGGATCCTGATCGGGTGACGGTGCACAGCGAGAGAGGGGGAGGTGGAGAGGGGTAGAGAGGAGAGAGGAGAAGAGGCCAGGTGAGGTGAGCGACACAGAGGAGAAAGAGTGAGGTCATGCATGTGCGGTATGGATTGATAGAAGCTTCTTGTGGGGCATGGCGTGCAGCGCATGAGAGTGATAGTGAGGAGGCAGGATGAGGTCATGCATGTGCATGGCGTAGAGTGTGGAGTGGCGCATGGAGGCGAGCAGCTGGATTAATACGAGCTTAGGTATGCAGTGGCGCATGAGTTATGCAGTGGCGCATGAGGCATGCAGTGGCGCATGAGGTATGCAGTGGCGCATGAGGTATGCAGTGGCGCATGAGGTATGCAGTGGCGCATGAGGTATGCAGTGGCGCATGAGGTATGCAGTGGCGCATGAGGTATGTAGTGGCGCATGAGGTATGCAGTGGCGCATGAGGCATGCAGTGGCGCATGAGGTATGCAGTGGCGCATGAGGTATGCAGTGGCGCATGAGGCATGCAGTGGCGCATGAGGTATGCAGTGGCGCATGAGGCATGCAGTGGCGCATGAGGTATGCAGTGGCGCATGAGGCATACAGCGGCGCATGAGGCATGCAAAGGGACAGAGGGCGAGGGGCACGTACGAACACCACTTGCTCACTCGCTCCACCTTCGCCCCCCACCTCCCTCTCCGCCCCACCCACTTCCACCCCTTCACCGCGCCACCTCTCCTCCCCCTCGCCACTGCTGACCCCTATCACTGCTGCGCGCGCACCAGCGCCTGGCGACTCTGCCACCCGTGCGCCCATCACCAAGCCCCGCCACCGGCTCTCGCTGCCTACGCGCCAAGCCGCGGGGAGCAACCATCCTTCGCGGATGACGCTGCGGAGCGGCAAGCGCGGGCGGGGCAACCCCCGGCATACGTCCAAACCTGCCCCCCCCCGATCACTCCGGCCAAGCGGAGGTGCACGGTGGGCAAACTGGGACGGAGACGCGCATGGTGGGGGCGCGTGGTGAGCAGAGGGGGAGCGCGCGACAGGGGCCGATGGCGGTGGGAGGGTGGTCCGGGCGAGAACAGCGGAGAGGACGGCGGAGGTGGCTGGGCGGCGCAGGGCGACGGCTCGATGGGCGGGGTGGGCGGAGCCCAACATCGCGGCGGAATGATTGGAATGATGGAGGACGCCGCAATATTGGGGCGAATTTACCTCACACGCAAGTATCCTCATTACGGGGTGGAGACACTTAATTGTACAGTGGTGATGTCAGAATGTAGTACGGTAAAAGTTGCTGATGTGCCCTAACAACAAGGAATCTCGATGAAATACTCCATGAAATTATAATCTTTCAGCCGTTGCGAGATGACTGCTTTGCTTGGTAATAGTTCCATGTAACAGAATATTGGAATAACCGAAAGGTTATATAAAGCATTCCCGAAGCTGTTCCACTGTACCAGTACCGGAATAGCTCATATAGAGCATCCGGAATGTCGAGAGTCACCCGAAGGTCAACCGTCTGAGAAAGTCAACGGTCGTGACCCTTGACAATCCAGTAACCGTGCGACAGTTAATTCACTGCAACATGGTAACTGTCGAGGATATCAATAGTCACGGTTACTGCAGCTATGCAATACTGTTACCGTATGGCCCCGGATATAAGCGCATATGCGCTTATAATAAGTTCAAAAAATTTAGGGGTGGCGCTTGTAATTGAGTAACGGCCATAAGCGCCGGCGCTTATTGTCAGATTACTATAGCTGATGCATGTTTTTAGGCTATAGTGGGGTAGCACATTTGGGGTACAGCTTTCCAGGGTTGTATTTGTACCCAACTCTGACTTAGTCATTCTCATTCCTATTCATTCTTTTCACATGGTATAGAGCGGGTCCTTCCTAAGGACCGTTTTTTTTTAAGGGCCCACCCACGATATTTTTCCAGCCCGGAGCGCGCCCTATTCTCCCCGAGGCGCGCTCCCCCCCTAGTGCGTGTCGCACTGCTTTTGTGGCCCCCCCGCGAGTCGCGCGCGCGACTCCCTTTTTTTTTTTTTCTTTTTTTTTTCGCGCGCGCGGCCCGGGCCTACGTCGCGCTGGCCTTACGGCCGCGCCGCGCCGCCCTCTCGGCTCTGCTGCGCCCCGCCGCCCTCGCGCCGGCCGCGCGGCCTCTTCGTCGCTGACGGCCCCGTCACCTGACGGCCCCGCCGTCCCCTTTTTGACGGCCCCGCCGTCCCCTTTTGACGGCCCCGCCGTCCCCTACTCACGGCCCCGCTGCTGCACCCTGACGGCCCAGCCGCTGCACCCTGACGGCCCCGCCGCTGCACCCTCACGGCCCCGCCGCTGCACCTGTCGGCCCCGCCGCTGCACGTGTCGGCCCCGCCGCTGCACCCTGACGGCCCCGCCGTCCCTTGTCCCGGCCCCGCCGCTGCACCCTGACGGCCCCGCCGCTCCACCTGTCGGCCCCGCCGCTGCACCCTGACGGCCCCGCCGTCCCTTGTCCCGGCCCCGCCGCTGCACCCTGACGGCCCCGCCGCTGCACCTGTCGGCCCCACCGCTGCACCCTGACGGCCCCGCCGTCCCTTGTCCCGGCCCCGCCGCTGCACCCTGACGGCCCCGCCACTACACCAGTCGGCCCCGCCGCTGCACCCTGACGGCCCCGCCGTCCCCTGTCCCGGCCCCGCCGCTGCACCCGAGCCGCCCTTCCGCCGAGCCGCCCGGGAGCCGAGCCGCCCTGCACCCGAGCCGCCCTGCCGCCGAGCCGCCCGGGCGCCGAGCCGCCCTGCACCCGAGCCGCCCTGCCGCCGAGCCGCCCGGGAGCCGAGCCGCCCGGGAGCCGAGTCGCTGAGTCGCCGAGCCGCCCTTCTGCAGAGTTGTCCGGCCTGCCCTGCCTGGTGAGCACAGTCACACTGTCACTGCGTGCTCTTCCCCTACTGCTTGCACTGCTTCGCTGTCGTCGTCATGGCTACCCCTAGTGTCCTAGCTTTTGACGCTGAGGGTCGCGCCATTGACTTTGAGGTCTGGGTAGACGACCTGCAGTTGTTCTTACAGTGCGATAGGGCAGACGGCCTCTCTCTCTTTGACCTTACCTCTGGCGCCTCTCCTGCTCCTGCTGCTGATGCTGATCCCACTGTCCGCTCTCAGTGGGCCACCCGCGATGCTGCTGCACGTCTTGCTGTGCGTCGCCACCTCCCTACCTCTGAGCGCGCACACTTTAGTCAGTACAAGAGTGCCCAGACCTTGTACGACGCTGTAGTTGCGCGCTACTCCTCCCCTGTCACTGCTGCACTGAGCCGTCTCATGCTTCCCTACCTCTTTCCTGACCTCTCTGCCTTTCCCACTGTCGCTCACCTCATTACGCACCTCCGCACTAGTGACACTCGCTACCGCGCCGCCCTTCCTGCTGAGTTCTGCGCTAAGAACCCCCCCCCCCCATGTACATCACTCTCTACTACGTAGTCGCGCGCCTCCCTGACTCCCTTCGCGTAGTCAGGGACCACTTTCTCGCAGTCTGTCCCACCACCCTCACCGTCGACGTCCTCGAGAAGGCCCTCCTTGCAGCGGAGAAGAGCATAGTCGCTGTAGGAGCTTCTCGTGGTGACCCTCGCACCCCCATCTTTGAGGGGTGCTCTCCTTCCCCCTTGCTGCCCGCTGTTGCCTCTGCTGCTGTTGCCGACCTGCTTGGTCTTGAGTCGGTCGGCGCGGCGTCTGTCCCTCGTGGGAGACGTCGCTCTGGCAGGGGCAAGGGGGGCAAGGGCGCGGGTGGAGCTCGAGGGGGCGGTGGCGGTGGCGGCGGAGGCGGCGGAGGGAGTGGGGGTGGCGGCGGGAGTAGTGGTGGGGGTGGTGGTGGTGGTGGCAGCAGCGGCGGAGGTGGCGGTGGGGGTGGCGGCGGTGGTGGTGGTGGCAGCGGCGGAGGTGGAGGCGGCGGAGGAGGCAGCGGAGGAGGCGGTGGTGGTGGAGGGGGTGGAGCTGGTCGGGGTGGTACCCAGCAGCTGAGCGGCGGTGGTGGTGGCCAGCGCTCGCAGCGGCAGCAGCAGCGTTCGCGGGACATCCCTCCGCCTCAGCAGCTTCGTGAGTGGTACACTCAGCGTCAGAGGGGTGGGGGTACTGGTCCTTGCACCTACGTCCTTCGTTCCGGCGACCGCGCGGGTGAGCAGTGTGGGGGTGCCCACCCCACCCAGCGCTGCTTTGGCCGCCTGACGGACGCTTGGCGTCAGCAGTTCCCCGGGGCTAGTGAGATCCCTCGCTGGGATGAGCTTCTTAGGGCTGGTGTAGCGATCTTTGGTCTTGATTTTGATGCTATCCTTGCTGCTATGTATGCTGTGACTTTTAGTGAGGAGAATGAGGGTTACCGGTGTTTCCAGCCCGACCCGGGCATTGGTACTGCTGCGCTAGGTGCTTGTGAGGCTACTGCTCTAGGTGCCAGTGCGTCTGCGCTCTCAGGTACTGGTGAGACTGCGCTCTCAGGTACTGCGTCGCCCTCGTCCTCCCTCACTTTCACACTTGACTCCGGGGCTTCTCGCTCCTTCTTTCGAGACCGCACCACCCTCACGCCGCTTGGCCGGCCGGTTGCCGTCTCCCTGGCTGACCCCTCTGGGGGTCCTGTCCTCTCTCACTTCTCCACTGTCCTCCCGTGTCCGGCTGCCCCTTCGGGCACCCTGTCTGGACTGTACCTTCCCTCGTTCTCTACGAACTTGGTGAGTGGTGCAGACCTGCAGGATGCGGGGGTTCACCAGTTCACTCCTGCGAGTCAGCGGGTGACCCACTCCACGGACGCACGCACAGGCCGGCACCTGGCCACGTTCTCACGTCGGCCGGGGTCGAGCCTCTACACCCTGACCACTGCGTCTCCTCCTGTCCCTGCGTCTGGTCAGGTAGCTGCGTCAGGTCTGGTGTTTGCTGCTGCGTCCCGGTCAGGTCCTGAGTCTGCCCCCTGTTCTTGTCGCCTCCTGTCTCACGAGACTCGCCTGTGGCACCACCGTCTTGGCCACCCGTCCTTGCCCCGTCTTCGGAGCATGGCTTCCCGTGTCCTTGTCTCTGGTCTTCCCCGGTCTCTCCCTCCCCTTCCCTCCGGGCCAGGACCTTCCTGTGTCCCCTGTGTCGAGGGTCTTCTACAGGCTACTCCTCACTCCTCCCAGTTCCCCCCGACAGAGGCTCCTCTGCAGACGCTTCACATGGACGTGTGGGGCCCAGCCCCCGTCCGTGGGCAGGGTCACGAGCGCTACTTCCTGTTGGTGGTTGACGACTACTCGCGTTACAGCACAGTCCTCCCCTTGCGCAGCAAGGGTGCTGTCACTGAGGTGCTGATCGACTGGATCAGCGAGGCTCGTCTCCAGCTCAGGAAGAGCTTCGGCTCGGACTTTCCTGTTCTGCGTCTGCACTCGGACAAAGGCGGAGAGTTCTCCTCTCGCCTTCTGCAAGACTACTGTCGTGCACGGGGGATCCGCCAGACCTTCACGCTTCCGGACTCTCCACAGCAAAATGGGATTGCTGAGCGCCGCATTGGCATGGTCATGGATGTCGCTCGTACGTCCATGATGCATGCGGCTGCCCCCCATTTTCTGTGGCCGTTTGCGGTGAGGTACGCGGCGCATCAGCTCAACCTTCACCCCAGGGTCTCTCGGCCCGCGATGTCCCCAGTCTTGCTGTGGACGGGGAAGGTTGGCAATGCGTCAGCGTTCCGTGTCTGGGGATCTCGGGCGTTTGTCCGCGACTTGTCTGCGGACAAGCTGTCCCCTCGTGCTGCTCCCTGTGTCTTCCTTGGCTTCCCCACTGACGCTCCAGGGTGGCAGTTTTACCAACCCTCCTCTCGTCGTGTTCTGTCCTCCCAGGACGTCACGTTCGACGAGTCAGTCCCCTTCTACCGCCTCTTCCCCTACCGCACTCCTTCCCTCCCCCCTCCGCCGGACTTCCTTGTGCCGGTTCCTCCCCCGGTAGACCCCCTTCCCCCTCAGGTTCCTGCCCCCCCAGGTGTGTCCCAGGTAGACGCAGTTGACCCGGTCGAGGTTACTGGTGACTCTGGTGCTACTGCGGGTGCTGAGCCTGGGGGTGCTGACTCTGGGGGTGCTGTGCGCGGGGGTGCTGGGCCTGGGGGTGCTACTGCGGAGGGTGCTGAGACTGGGGGTGCTGAGCCGGGGGGTGCTGTGCCTGGAGCTGCTGAGCTAG